AGTAGTAGTAGTAGTAGTAGTAGTAGTCGTAGTCGTAGTAGTAGTAGTAGTAGTAGTAGTAGTAGTCAGTATAGTATAGTAGTAATAATAGTATAATTAGTATAAGTGCTCATGGTAGTGGGCGCAATGGTGGTAGCAGCGACAACAGAAACGATACAAAAGTGAGGAGCAACGAGCGTACGATTAGAAGTAGCCACGCTGGTAGTAGTATCCGTCGCCGTAGGGATGGTACTGGCAATCGTAGCTGCCATCGTCGCGGTAGTCGTCAACTAGAAGTTATTACAATACGGATAATACTAGTAATAGTAGCCGTCACCGTGCCGTAGTAGTACTCACACCATTAATAATGAATGTGGCAGGTCGAACAATTCCAGCAGCACCAGCGGCCCTAGCGGGAGAAGAGGCGGGAACAGCAGCAAAAGCAATGTCAAAACGGCTTCATCTCGTAGTAGCAGTGGTTATACGACGGGGGCCAGCAGTGCGAGCATAACCTACCTGCAATGGTAGTAGCAGCGTTGAGAGAAGAGGAGTAGAAGCAGAGCCATAGTTGAAGGATGTTAGAAAAAAGGCACATGCGAACACAAATGATCATAGTGTGCTTAACAAATGTTATGAAAGTACTGGTCTTTGCAATAGTGTAGTACACGTGGAACTTGCGTAGGTAAAACTGTATCGAGCGTTGGCAAAACTGGGTTTAGTGGAACCTGGTTTAGTGATTTGTACCAGGGGCGCCCCCCCGTCCCATTTCCACTAACCAGAACTGCCCTCAACCGAAAAACACCACGTATGGCAAACCTAGTTTAGTAAATCTGGCCAATTGAGGGGCCCCAGGGCCCTACCACTAACCGGGTCCCCTTACCCGGAGTCCTGGCTATACCCGACTGTAGGTAGTCCGCGTGGCACTAAAAAAGCAGAACGAGGCTCTCGCCATCGCACTCAGGACAACACTCCCGAATGAAAAAGCAACAGCGCAAGAGGGTCTGTGTTCGCTACGCAAGGCACCAGTGATCAACATGGGGTCATGCACTGCAGCACAGCTCAAAAATGACGCGCGTCGCCCCAAAAACCGTGTATCGCGCGACCGGCACGGCCGAGCGGCGGGCGCGAGCTGGCCCGGCGAGCAGCGTCGGCAGCATGATCGTAATGTGTGTGTTGGGCCGGTGCGGATGTGCTGCCATGGACAGGCCATGCGCAGGCCATGGGCAGGCCCATGGGTAGGCCATGGGCAGGCCACGGTTAGGGCATGGTTAGGCCATGGGTGGGCCATGGGCAGGCCACGGACGGACCATGGGTAGGTCATCGGGAAGCCATGGGTGGGTCAAGGAAGCAGGCCATGGGGGCAGTGAAGCCCAGGGGAGTGCCCCAAAGCTCTGCATCCCTGAGAGGTAGACGGGGTTCTAGAAACCTTCAGGGGCCTGGTTTCCCCAGGCGCTTCCAGGGGCTCCTCTGTTTTTTTTTCGGAGGGCCTCCGAAACGGCAGCCCCGCACCTGAGGGCCCCAAAACGAACACAGATGGCCCCGAGAGGCCCCCCAAAACGGCCCCAAGATGCCCCAAGATCGCTCGCAGGCGCCCAAGATGGCCTCACGACGGCCAAAGAAGCGCCCGAGAAGCTCCAATGGAGCCCCGAGAGCACCCTCAAGAGGGCTCCGAGAAGCGAATTGACCCATGGGTTTCGGAGGATTCAAAATCTAGCCTTTTCAAGCTTTCGACGCTCCAAGACGGCCCAAGAGGAATCAGACCTACAACTCAGGCACGGGGGTGGGATGGGCCGAAGTCTAGTATATAGTACAATACGCATGCGTGCGCATGTGCACATAACTCCACATACGTTTCAATTGCATCAACCGCTGTCCGTTAAACAGTTTCCGAGGTGGCAATGAGAGAACGTGGCGGCCAATGAATCACACTCGGAATCTCGGGGTGTACACATCCTCTTGTCAACCGCATGTATACATGAACGAGACCCCCCTCTGCTCGGGAGCGGCCAAGAGGGGGGTGTCCAAGAAGGGGGGGTGCAAATCATGACCGGCGGCATGTGCGCGGCCCAGCGGGGGGTCCAGGGACGTAAAGAAATAAGAAGAGGCGCCATGAAATCTGGGGAAATATCATGGCCCCCGCCATGATATCCACCCCCCCCTAGTAATCACCCCCCTCTTTTCCGCCCCCGATCTGCAAACGTCTGAACCCCGTCCCGGGACCAGATTCGCATGCCACACCGTTTTTGTTCCCTGCCCTGGGGCCCAGCGAAGGACCCCACAGAGGCAGAAGACGCTGCAAAAAAACCTCTGGCATGCTCTTCTGTCAATTCTCGTTGGAGGTTTGGGGAGGGGCAAAAGGACGAGGAGGACGAGGAGGACGAAGAGGACGAAGAGGGAGCGAGGAGGACGAGGAGGACGAGGGAGGAGGACGAGGAGAAACTGACGAGGACGGGGAACGGACGAGGAGGACGAAGAGGGCCAGGAGGGGCACGGCCCGAGACGGCGAAGGGGCCGGCGGCGCCTCGCGGGCCAGGTCGTCGGCCCCGAAGTCCACCATGGACGTGGTCGAGCGCGTGGTCTGGCGGCGGTGGCTTTTCAAGGGCTCCCAGCTTCGCGCTTCGCGCTGCGCGAAGCGCGAAGTGCGAATAACTTCGCGCTCTCGCGCCGCCTCCCAGGGGAGAAGAGGAGGAAGAGGAGGAATCGAAGCCGAACCGCGAAGCGCGAAGCGCGAATAACTTCGCGCCCTCGAGGGCGCCCTTGGCTTTTGCTCCTCTTCCGACACCTGGCTCAACGCTTGCCCTGTGCACCTGGCGCAGCGACCTGAGCTGCAGAGCCCTTGCGCCGAGGTAGCTGTAGCTGCCAGCCATACCTCGAGTCTCTCCAGCGCCGACGGGGGGAGGAGGGGAGCCGTGAGGGCGAGACGGATCGTTCCGCGCAGCGACGGCACGACAACGCTGAACCACGGGTCGCCGCCCCGAGCTTCCCGCGCGGCGGCGCTCCCCGCGCGGCTGCGCCTCGACGGGCGGCGGGCCGGTCCAGACGAGCGACGAGAAGCAAAGGGGCCTTCCGCAGGATGGCACGGCGACCTGACGTCGCAGCTGACGCGGGCCGCCAGCACGCTGCGCTGGAGGCGAAGGCGCTCACGCGCGTTTGCGGAATGCCCCCTTGGGGCTGGAGGATGGCAACGCATCGCCGATGCATCGGCGATGCACCAGCGACGTCGGCGTGGAGAACATCGGGGTCCACACTGGGATCAACTGTGAGGAAAATTCGTATTGACGACAAGAGATAAAACCTCGTTGCAGGGGCCACGAAGCCGGGCTTGCCGGAATGAGGCTTAGTGAGAAACATATGCTGGGAGTTCTTCGCAGGAGCGATAAAAAACTGCAAGCCCGATTCACGGGCCATTCGGCTGGATTCGCCGGGCTTGAGTTCAGGATCGAGCCCGGTTCGACCGGATTGCGTAGGATTCAGCGGAACTGGACGGGATTAGGCCCGATTGACCAGTTCTCGACCACGCATCACCCGGCGGCTGTGCTGAATACAACCTCCAACGAGTTAAGCCCATGAAAGAATGAGATGCATCGCTAGGAAGGACCAGCTCACGGGGGGGGGACATCGGCATGGAATCGGTGATGCATCGCCGATAGATTGGCGCCGTGCCCGCGATAGCGGCTCCGCACGATCCTGGGCGGGGTGGAAAGGTTGTCCAGGCGAAAGACCCAACCAGATGCAGTTGTGCGTAACGCTTTTGTTGGTATCGTCTTCGGTGGAGCTCCTTGTGGGGCAAAGAAACGCATGACGGGTGTGCCGAAATGGGCGCTGTGGTGTCATGCGAGCGCAGCCACTGGGGCCTGCGGAGGAGCTCGTGATGGGGACACGAAGCGTGTGACGGGTGTGCCGAAATAGGCGCTGTGGTGTCATGCGAGCGCAGCCACTGGGGCCTGCGGTGGAATCCCCCATGGGGCCACGAAGCGTCTGAGGGGTGTGCCGAAATGGGTGCGGTGGTGTCATGCGAGCGCAACCACTTGGGTTTTTGGTGGAGTTCCCGATGGAGCCACGAAACGTGTGACGGGTGTGCCGAAATGGTTGTGGGGGACGCATGTGGGCGGTGGCACTGGGGCCTTCGATGGAGCTCTCTATGGGGCCACGAAGCGTGTGAAGGGTGTGCCGACGTGGGCGTGGGGGACGCATGCGGGCGGTGGCTCCGCGGGGCCGTCGGTGGAGTTCCCCACAGGGCCACGAAACGTGTGCGGTGTGCCGAAATGGGTGTGTGGGGGGAGCGCGCGCGGGCACTGGCATTAGTAGGGGCCTTCGGTGGAGCTCTCTGTGGGGGCACGACACGTGTGATGGGGGTGCGCCAAACTGCATGTGGGGGACGCGTGCGGGCGGTGGCACTAGGGCCTTCGGTGGAGCCAAACTGGGTTTGGGGGCGCGCGCGGGGGCGGTGGCACTGGGGCCGTCGGTCCCCCTTTATGGGGCCACGAAGCACTGTACGGGGCGGGTGAAACGCATATAGGAAAGAGGGGGGGGAGGGAGGAGGGGGAGAAGGAAGGAAAACGCGGGGACCGTCTCTTCAAAACGAGGACCAACACCACAGGATGGCCGGGAAAAAGGAGGGCGGGCACCTGAAACGAGAAAGATCGATGAGAATCGGGGGAGAAAAAGACGAGGAGGACGAGAAGGAGGAGGTGGTGGAGGACGAGGAAAAAGAGGTGGAGGACGAGGAGGAGGAAAAACTGACATTGCAGGTGGTAATGGTGAAACATGAAATACAGGGCAACAATGGTAGCACGAAATCTAGCAAAGCGCGGGGTCCCATTCCGTCAATAATGGTATACCGCGCGCGCGGCGCGCACGCATATTCCTATTCGATTCGGTGCGACCGAGCAAAAGAGAGCGTCTCTCCGCAGCACTCAGGCCACAGAGGACCACCCGCAATGGGGTGCCATCGGAATCGCCGCAAGGCCTGACCAGTGGACGCTCGGATTCGCTCACACATGATCCAGGTGTTTCAATTCGAACAAAACGTCGTGAACCCTGCAGATCCTTGCCGCCTCGTCTGCGGTCAGCACGTAACCGCCATAGGTCTTGAACCGCCCCCCAACAGCTGGAAACAATTTTTCGGTTCGGGGTCCCTATTGACGGATTGGGGCCCCATGGGAAACAACTATTTATCCGCGGCGCCCGCCGCCCAGCAACTGCGACCACAAGTACGACTAAGAGCAAGAGGAGGATGAGGAGGACGAGGAAAAGGAGGAGGCGGAGGAGAAGGAGGAGGAGGAGGAGGAGGAAGCGGAGGAGGAAAAGGAGAAGAGGCGATATTATTCCTCGCCGAAAAAACATGGGGAGAACAGAAACGAACAACGTCCTGAAGTTACGTGGGAGGAGCTTGGACATGACCAGGGCCGTGGATCGGAACGGCACCACACAGCAGGGACGGCCCCCCGGAAAAAGGTCCCCTACCCAGATGTGGTGTCGACCAGCCGATCTGACAGCCTGGAACATCACACTGCTCGTGGGGGCCCGGCACAAATCGCGCCCGCCCTGCGTTCGAGCCGCAACACTGGTCGCGCCTTAATTATGGACACATTGAACATGAGTTTCTTTGCGTAGCTTTTTGCTGGCATGTCCTGTGAAAACATGTCAACCCTGAGTGCAAAAGCCTCATAGTGCTGGCAGCAGTGAAACCTGCGGTGAATCGCGTCGCCTGGATGTCCACGAGGAAGGCAAATATCTGGCACATTGTACCCAAGCAAAGACAAAGTGGATTCGGTCCACCACCCCTTGGCCACGAGCGTCTGGACGGCAGACCTGTAGCTCGATGGGGTTTCTTAGCTTTGGGACCCGGGGAGATACGAACAGCATCAAAACAAGCTCTGCTGAGCGGGGTGGGGTTGGTCATGGATTTTGTCGCTTGAAATTCCCATTGTCTTTGACATCCTCGTGCCGGCAGCTCCCAAGGCAGAGCCCGCGTCGCGTCCGCGGGGGACACCGTCTGGCCGAAGTGGTCCAGCGATGCCAAAGCCGCCTTGCATGTCCAGCCGATGCGGTGGAGACTCGCCCTCCGCGGGCCTTCTCGGCGGCTAGGCGGCGCTCAGCACAAAGCGCGGCCGCGCCGTCGCCGCCCCAAGCAGGCCCGGAGCTGATCTTCAACAAGATTTGGCCCAAACAAGACCAAGGCCCAAGAAAGCCCGACGGCGCCCCCGCGCCGGCCCAGAACGTCGGCTTCGAGTCCCAGGAGGCGCGTCAGCTCAAGCCCTGCACAATCGACGAAAGCCGACCTTGCTGCATTCAGACTTGCCCGCGCCTCGCCAGCGGGTCTATGGCGAGCGCGGGCGACAGCGCGCGCGGCGAGGCGAGGGCCCCCCCCCCCAGCGCCCCTCATCTGGCCTAGGTCCGAGGGGGCGCTCTTGAGGTGGCTTCTGGAAACACACGTAAACCAATTGCTTCGCACTAAGTCACTGGGCGCATCGAGGCGCATGACCAGCGAAACTGGCCATGAGGATGGATCTCCGACAGCGCATCAGCGGTGACCCATGGGGCCAGACTAGCAACGCCAGGGCCCGCCAGAAAGACATCTATAATATTACTAGACGGGGGTAATATGGGCGTCGGCATCGCTGGCGCCCTCGTAAGCGCGCCGAATTTGCGATCGAACCCAAAGATTTCCATGAGCTCAGGAGACGCGCTGAAATCGCCCACGATGCTCGAGCGAGACAAATCCGACGCCGAAGGCCCCAACAGGGCCAGTAGCCCCGCAATGCTAGGGCCCAGCCCTGCAGACGACATAAGGTGGGCCGAGATAAGCGACAGCGCATGTGATGGGGCGCCACAGGAAAGTCAGCCTCTGAAGGCCAGCGGAGCCCCAATACTCAATCTGCCGAAAGCAGCCGCCGCAGCCGACATGTTCACAGTATCGGGATTCTGGTAGCTCGGAGCAACAGTAAGATGCCTCCCAAGGCGTCGCGCCTCGTCGATGGCCCCGCCGATGAAATCCGCGCTGGCGCCGACCCCCTGCGCGCAAAGGAGAACTGCTGAGCTCTCGTGCAGGCGCCTGTTCAGCGCGACACAACACGAGCCGTTGAAACTCTACGCGACACGGCCCAATTTCAGTATTCGACCTGCACGGGGCCCCACTTCAGGGGCGGGGCTGGACCACCTGCGCGGGAGAGAAGTCTCCCACGACACTTCGGAGACTGGCCGTTGAACTGCGCGCCACCCACTCTGGCGTCTCTTGCCCCGAGCATCACACTGCTTGATATGGTATGACAAAGCACGATGGTTTACACTCTCCTCCCTAGCAGTCGCGATAAGTTGATCAATACCCTCATCTGTAAGTTCATCCAAATCATCAAGGCCCCTCGGGGCTGGTTTTATTCTCACCACCATCGGCCCACGAAAGGGCCGCTGCACCCAGGGCGGCCCCAGGGTGAGGAGCCGAGCCAGGAGTGGAAGCACAGGCTTGGGCGGCCCGCGCCTTGCGCTGGGCGGTGCTCCGCGAACTGTGGGGGAGCCACACAGGCTGCTGTACATCGAAGTTGTCCTTGGCGGCGTCCCCGCCCAGCACGCACGTCACTGTAAAACTCGCAGGACGTGGCAGCACCTGGGCCATGGTCGTCTGGAGTTCCAGCTCCGTCGCCTCGGTCTCCACGCGCTCCAACCGACCCTTCCCTTGCATCGACCGCAGCTCCGTGTTCGCTGCCTCGATGATCATCCGCTGAATCTTGGCGTCGTGGTCTGGACGCTCGATCGTGGCACTGGAGCGCTGTAGCCTGTGCTCCCAGGCCGCGTCGAGACAGCGAGGGACTGGCACTGCTTCGCTCCTTGCGCAGATCCGCGAACTCCTTTTTCCATAGACTCTTTGACGGCGGCAGGGGGCCGATCATCATTGCGCACTCCTTGGGTGGCAGCCTCCAAGGACTTGGTCTTGGCCAGCAACGCTCGGCCCGCCTCATCTGCTACAGCCTCTGCAGCCCCGTCTGCTGCATCGGGGGGAGCGGCAACCTGCGATAGTCGCACGGCCCCCGGGCTGCCGAGCTGCTTGGCGAAAGACTCAATCTGCTTCTGTAGCTGGCCGAAGTGGCGCACGACAGAAGAGGTAGGATCACTTGGAGGGCACGCGTCCATGCACCGCCAAGCGAGCGAGACGGCGCAGCATTGGGCATGGACTTGATATCCGCGGCCTTCTTCTTGGTGCGGTCGACGGTGCTCTGTGGAGCCCTCTTGCCGCACGGAAGTGTGATGCGGGACGCGAAGCGGGAGTTGCGCCCGCACGACAGACATCCTCACAAAAGGTTGTTTGGGACCTGGGAGGACATCTGGATCCTGTCCCAATGTGGCAGGGCGGGTCACGCGAGGATGCCCCTGCGGGGGCTCCCTGGGAACTGAAGGATGAAGTCCTTCGGCCTGAACGCCGAACGCGTTCGCCCGCAACGGCGACTACTGCTCTGCGGACTGTTGTTGCCCGCGCAAGCCGAAAGCCCGAGCCAGAACGGCTGAGGAGGAGGAAGGAGGAGGAAGACGAGGAGGAGGAGGACGAGACGAGGAAGAGGCGGAGATGGTCGTCAGGAGGCCAGGTTGGTGAAGAGGGGGGGGGACAGGAGGGAGCAGGTCTGAAGGCGGGGGTGATGTGGATGAGGCAGGGCGCAAGAGGAAAGGAAGCAAGAAGGATGAAGCAGGAAGCGAACATGGCAGGCGGGGTGAGTGGGGTTAGGCAGACTAGCTCGACTCGACGGGGGAGAGGGATTGGGAGGGGGTAGAGGAGCACAGAGGAGACGGGGCAGAGGCTAGCGATAGAACTTGTTCCGCAAGGGCCTTTGGGGGCATGCGTTCAGGGAGCGAGAGGGGGAGAAGGCAACTAGAGGGGAAGGTCGAGGCGGGATTGAGGGAGGGGGCAAGAGAAAGGAGGGATGTGGACGGGGGAGCGGAAAGAGGGAAGACATGGATAATCAAGTGGGGAGGAGGGCATGCGGGAGCCAAGGATGACGGAGCATTGAGGAACAAAACAAGAAGGGAGGGAACGTGTTGAGCGGTTCCTGGAAGTGTTTCTGAGAGCATTGGGTGCAAAACTCCGAGATCGTCCAAGAGGCCCTAAGATGGACCCATGAAGTGGTCAAAGACGCCCCCAAAAGCGCCCCAAGGATGCCCTGGGGTAGCGTTAATTGAAGCCCCCCCGTCTTGAACCGATGTCCACTGAGATGGCCCCAAGAGCGCCTCGAGGGAGCCCCAAGGGGGACCCAAGAGCCTGAAAGGCATAGCAAGAGGACCCAAGATGGCCATACAGAACGTCCCCTAAACTCCCATATCGAAAGATCCGCGAATACATTAACACGGCAACTCGTTGGGGCATTGTTTTCTGCGTGGACTGGTGAAGATGCGCGAAGCGTCGAACATTGGCACGAATAGGCGATGATGGGGAACATCGAACTATCAATTGACAATTAGCATGCGCATGCACGCGCTAGGACAGCATGGGCTAGCAAACAGGAGACACATTACGAGAGCAGCATCGAGAGTGCAGAAGGCAGCGGGTGATGTCCGACGCCCCCAAGTTCGATGTTGGAGACGACAGTGTCGAAGCTGGAATTTGTGATATGCTCAGCGTGCCCTGCGACGCGGTGCATCATCCAAGGGAGGATGAGAGGGAGCGTGGAGAGGGGGCGGGAGCGGGGGGGAGGTAAATACACTTAGCCGGAATGGAGAAGCACTGCGGATGTAAATGGAATAATGCGAACAATAACCATGTGGGCAAATACTGAAGCATGCATCTCCGCCCCTCCCCCGCCTCCCCTCCGCGCTCATCTTCCTTCATAGCAAAATCATTGATTTTACGACGGTTTTGGGCTCATTTTGTCCTTCTCAGGGCGCAGCTCTCATTTGCGCTTCTCAGGAGGTCGCAAGAGGCCCCAAGATGGCCCCAAGAGGCTCACAGGAGGCTCCCAAGAGGCCTCCAAGAGACCCCCCTGAGGCCCCCAAGCGGCCCCAAGAGGCCTCCAAGAGACCCCCCTGAGGCCCCCAAGCGGCCCCAAGAGGCCTCCAAGAGGCCCCCAAGAGGCCCCCAAGAGGCCTCAAGAGGCCCCAAGAGGCCCCCAAGAGGCTCCCCAGAGGCCCCCAAGAGGCCCCCCAGAGGCCCCAAGAGGCTCCCAGAGGCCCCCAAGAGGCCCCACGAGGAGCCCGAACGACTCACACCAGGACGAGGGGCCCGAACGACTCACACCAGGACGAGGCGCCCGAACGACTCACACCACGAGGAGCCCGAACGACTCACACCAGGACGAGGGCCCCGAACGACTCACACCACGAGGAGCCCGAACGACTCACACCAGGAGGAGGAGCCCGAACGACTCACACCAGGACGAAGGGCCCGAACAACTCACACCACGAGAAGCCCGAACGACTCACGCCAGGACGAAGAGCCCGAACGACTCAAACCACGACGAAGAGCCCGAACGACTCACACCAGGAAGAAGGGCCCGAACGACTCACGCCAGGACGAGAGGCCCGGAGATATGCGGGGGCAGGCGGAAACACGCCTGAAAAGCACGACTGTCGGCATGCTTCGCAAGAGTTGCTGTTTTGAGATGGGCTGGTGGGGATACGCGAAGCGTGAAGAATTCATGTCAGCTAGAGCCCGAATGCGACCGGGCAAGCAAAGCAGAGCGAAGGCTCGCGTGTGGTCGACTCAGTCGACTCAGCGGAGTTCCGAGGCTGGTTCGTTCGTCCGCTCGTTCCGTTTCTTCCCCGCTTGTGCGCGGTGAGGCCTGGCTGGCTGGACGGGGCCCCAAATCCTGATTTGAAAGCAGGAGGGTCTGTAAGCTGTGAACAGCCCGCCTAGTTACCCACCGAGCGATTGGTCCACGGACGCCCTCACCGGCACGCTCGAGCCGCTGGCCGAAGCCGAGCCCGCTCCGAGCCCACGCGTTTGCCTGCTCAAACGGGACAGGAGGAAGCCAGCTGTACCCACCTCGGGTACGTCAAATCAAATTTGTTTTACCTCTGGGGGCGTCCTCGTCGCCACGGCTGGATCGGCCTCCAAAGTTTGGATCGAGACAGCGCGAAGCTGAGCGGCGTGCGGCTCTCTGTCTCGGAGAGAGCGATCCACCGCCGCTTTCCTGTGGAAAATTCCCCCCCCTCTTCCTCTGGAACCTGGGGTTCCCCCCCCTCCGAAAATCCCCCCCCTGCTGGACCCCCCCCCCTCCCCCCTGGCAAATCCTCCCCCCCCTCCCCTACCCCCCCCCCCCCTCCGGAAAACCGAGAGGAGTCACTACCGGTTCGAACCCCCCCCCCTCCCCTCCAGAAAACCGGGGGAGGGTCACTACCGGTTCGAACACCTCCCCCACCCCCCCTCCAGAAAACCACAGGGGGGTCACTACCGGTTCGAACCCCCCCCCCTCCAGAAAACCGAGGGGGGGGGGCCACTACTGGTTCGAACCCCCCCGCACTCCCTCGAAAACCGGGGGGGGTCACTACCAGTTCGAACCCTCCCCCCCTCCCCCCTTGAAAACGGAGGGGGGTCACTACCGGTTCGAACCCCCTCCCTCCCCCCACCCCACCCACCCTCACCGCCAGCAAGCGACTTCCGGGTCCCTACCACCGTCCGCACCACATCCCCCACTGCTGTCCCCAGCACCACTGTCCTCACCACCACGGCCCCAACCACTGCCCGACTGTCCCCACTGTCCCACTGTCCCACTGTCCCCGCCGCTGTCCCACTGAGCTGTCCCACTGTTCCTTCCACTGTCCCCACTGTCCCCACCACTGTCCCCACTGTACCTCTGTCCCATTATCCCACCACCGTCCTCGTCACCGCCCTCACCACTGTCCCCATCACCACTGTACCCTGCACTGTCCCACTGTTTCCACCACATTCCCACTGTCCCCACACCACTGTCCCCACCACCACCATCCCAACCACTGTCCCACTGTCCCCAATGTTCCCACCATTGTCCCCGCTGTCCCCACCAGTGCCCCAACCAGTGTCTCACTGTCCCCACTCTCCCCACAATTGTCCCACCACGGTCCCACTCTCCCCACTTTCCCCATGGTCCCCACCACTGTCCCACTGTCCCCACTGTACCCACCACTGTCCCACTGTCCCCGCCGCTGTCCCACTGTGCTCTCCCACCGTCCCCACTGTCCCCATCACTTTCCCACTGTCCCCACCACTTTCCCCACTGTGCTACTGTCCCACCAGTTTCCGCACCACCGCCTTCACCACTGTCGCCACCACTACCGTCCCCACCACTGTCCCACTGTCCCCACCACTGTTCCGCTGTCTCCTCACCACTGTCCCCACCACCACCGTCCCCACCACTGTCCGCACCACTGTCCCACTGTCCCCGCACCAGTGTCCCCACCACCACTGTTCCCACCACAGTCCCAGCATCCTCAACATTGTCCAATTGTCCCGAGGAGCGGGAATCGTTTGCCGGCGGCGAGGGGGGGGGGGGGTCGAACCGGGAATGACCACCCCCCGGTTTTCGAGGGGGGGGGGTCCGAACCGGTAGTGACCCCCCCCGTCTTCGAGGGGGAGAGGGAGGGGGTCGAACCGGTAGTGACCCCCCTCCCTTTTCATGCACTAGGGGGGGGGGGAGGGGCTCGAACTGGTAGTGACACCCCCTGGTTTTCGGTGGGGGGGCGGGGGGCGGACGGGTTGGGAGCCCCCCGCGACCCCCCCCCCCGGTTTTCCGCCAGCAGCGGAAGAACACGCTCTTGCCTATCTCGGTGGAGGGGGGAGGAGGCTCGAGATCCGAGGATCGCGCTTCAACCACTCGGGGGCGACGACCGGGGCAAATAGCCAGGGAGCGGGCGTTACACGCATCCCTCTGGAAGCCTCGCCGAAGGCATGGACCCTCGGCGCCGCTGGATGCACGTACACGCCGGTCGGAGGAAGCAGGTAGAAACACGGAAGTTAAGAGGGCGCTTGACACTGGTTGGGCTCTGGGAGCCTAGAAGCACCCACCTTCAACGTTCAACGTCCAGTGCGTATCGCGCCCCCCTGGACTACTCGCCCCCATCATCCGACGATAGGGGCGAAAAAACGCGAGATTAGAGCACGTCAAATACGCGACATGGCAGCAAATCGTATTCGACGATAGTGAACGGTAATATCGGGTCGGGCGAAAGGGGGGGAGAGCAAAGGGGGGGTTTGAGAATCAGCTCACGTAGCTGATTTTCCCGGCGCCTCCCGGCGCCGGAGGCGGCCATGTATCGAGGAATGGGCGCCTCGGTGAGGCCGAAACCAGCTGCACGCAGCAGATTTCGTAACCCCCCCTTTCCCAATCCCCCCCTTTCGCCCGGCCCGATCATAGCGGTAATGGGTGGAAGAGATTGAACATTGGGTCGCGCAAGGGTTCCAGGGATTCGACGCGCAATCGCCTCCGACGCGCAGCCTTCCTGGCCGGCCCAGCCTCCGGCCCGGGAGCGGCGAGCACGCCCTCCCGGCCACGACACAGGGAGGGCACGCGCACCGATCTCCTCGGGAGCGGCCAAGAGGGGGGTGTCCAAGAGGGGGGGTGCAAATCATGACCGGCGGCATGTGCGCGGCCCAGCGGGGGGGCCAGGGACGTAATGGAATAAGAAGAGGCGCCGTGAAATCTGGGGAAAAATCATGGCCCCCGCCATGATATCCACCCCCCCCTAGTCATCACCCCCCTCTTTTCCGCCCCCGAATCTCCTGGGCCGGGGCTCTCGGCCGGGCCAGGATCGGTGCCTCGCCCGATTCTAGGAGGGGGGGGCGAGCGCCCCAGGCATATGCTGTCGATGCTGCGCGCGGACCTCTTGGAGCTGAAGGGGCCCTGGGACACACCAATAAATAGAGACAAATAGCAGGACTCCCCATATTTCCACATATTTCTTAGATGTTCGTCTTCCTCCCCACTTCCAATCTTTTCCCATATTTTCGGGGGAATCGACGATTAACTGTGTCTGTGTTTGTTTCCCTCCTGACGAGCATATGCTGTCGATGGTGCGCGCGGATCTCTTGGAACGGCGCTGGGTCCACTCCTTCGCGCGCGGAGCGCGGCAGGGGCGGTGCCGGAGGCGCCGCCAGGGGGTTCCAGCGCAGATCTACGGAACCCGCGCGGAGCTTCGAGGAAATGTGTGCACGCAATGTTCTGTCACTCGAGATCCCCTGTCCCGGCAGCAGGCCATGAGTCAGAGAGCGAGGACGAGGCCATGGGGCACCTACCCACGCTCGCGGAGCATGCGCACCCCATTACCATCCAGAGACTCCGAGTCGCGCACGATCTTCGGTCAACTCTCGGCCATCGGGGGCGCCTCGGGCCACCTACCTCCCAAGCCGCAGCCTAAGCTGCCTTCCCTCCATTCCTTACCCTTCCTTGCTCCTTTCGTCCCTCCCTCAAGTCCGCCCGCCCACCACTGATTCCCTCCCTCCCTCCTCCTACTCTCTCTCTCTCTCTCTCTCTCCTCCCTTGTTCCCTCCCACCCCCCCACACGTCGTCTGCCGGATGGAGAGAGAGAGCGGAAAGAACGGGGAGGATGAGTTAGAACCAAAAGGTGCTGATACTGCTACTCCCCAGACCTCTCTCGGGGTGCGTTCGGACCAGAATTTCGAGGCGAATCCAGCGGTGGCGACGAGGGCTTCCCGGTAGGCCCCAAAAGGTGGAAACGAGCGAAGAGTAGGGGTATCGGGTATCGGTACCTTCCTCCTCTGAGATGAGGGGGGGAGGAGTAGCATCAGCAGCAGAAGGGGGAAAGGGGCCAGAGTCGGTCCCACCAGCGCCCCTCGCCGCATGCGCCCCTCGTCTCCATCGCCCACGTCTGGGCGGGGGGCGCGCGCCAGCTCGTCGTTCGCAGCAACCGGCGACTTCGCCTGAGCAGATCCCGGCGGAGGCCGTTGCACTGCCTCCTGGCTCCCATGCTGGCCCTCCCCCTCGTTCTCATCTGAGCACACGCACCTCCTTTTCCTCCATCCCTGCTCCCCCTTTTCCTCCCCCTTTTCCCCCATGCCGTCCCGTCCCCTGCTCCCCTCCCCTTTCCCTCCCCACCCACGCTCCCCCTTCCCCGTCTTCTCGCTCCTCACTGCCCCCCCTTGCCGCCCACTCACCACCCTCTAGGCAGGAAAACAACAACCACAACAACAACAACAACAACAACAACAACAACAACAACAACAACAACGACAACGACGACGACAACAACAACAACAACAACAACAACAACAAAAACAACAACACCAACACCAACACCAACACAACAACACCAACAACAACAACAACAACAATCACTTTACCCGAACGCTCAGTGTTCTCACCAGTGCCAGGGTTTTCATGCGACGCCAGCCAATACCCCCACTTTGTGGGGGGGCAGTGCAAGCTCTACCAAATATCCACACGACTCTTCGCCACCACCCACACCCAGCTTCCCGCCCTATGACGTTCGGACACTTCACTTCGTGGCCTGCGGACGACCGTGGCTACTACACTGGCGTGGAGTACACACCCACAGAAGTTGTTAAGCCTACGTTCGTACACCCACAGAAGTTGTTAAGCCTTGTTAACCCACAGAAGTTGTTAAGCCTTCCACAGAACATCTGTTGCATATGATGCATATGGTACATGATACACATGATACACATGATACGTACTCACAAGATAGTTGATCACATCTTTAGGGCAAATTCCTGAGGGATGTGGGAATACACAAGAGAGAGAGGATATGGTTGTCCCGATGGTTGTCTCGATGGTTGTCCCGATGGTTGTCCTGATGGTTGTGGTTGTCCCGATCGTTGTCCCGATGATTGTAAGTGTTGGGTTTCCTACGAATCCGCAAGAGCGCGCGGGATGAGATTTTGACAATTTTTTTGAAAAACCATTGGTTTTTTGATGTTTTTATGTTAAAATCGCTGCGAACACTAAGGTTTTGGAAGGATTTCGTCTTGCGCGCGCGAATGTCCACTTTACCTTATTTTTTGCAAGGGATTCTTGAAATTTGATTATATTAGAACAAGAAATGTCATTTTCTATTGTTTTTTGCAAGGGAAAGCGGATTACAACAAAACAACCGGATCCTGTACACACCCTCTTTTCTGAGGCTTCCTCACGAAAATGATGAAAATGTAGCTGCGGCCTAGGCGGCGCAGGGGGGGCGCGCACCAGGGGGCCCAACAATAATTATTCTTTAGAATAAATAATGTTCAACAACAACAACAATCCTTTTAAGACTGTTCGCCTCTATATGCTCGAGTGTCCAATAACGCGAATTTCCCAAACCCTCGATACCCGCCCTTTTCGTCTTCGATCAAACCCCTTTTGGGGGTACACCTTTCTTCCCTGCAGGCCGGGCCCCGGCAAGCGGCGGGGCGGCCGCGGACCGTCGGCCTGGCCAGCGGCAGCGCTGATCGGCGGGGCGGCCGCGACGACGACGACGACGTCGACGTCGAAGACGACGGCGACGACGGCGACGACGAACGAAAGCGAGAGCGAGAGAGAACGACAGCAGGGCCACGAAGGACACGAAGTAGGCCACGAAAGGCGACAGCGGGGACACGAAGGGAATGCGTATGGGGCCACGAAGAGCGCGAACGAGCGTGGGCCACGAAGGGCAGATAATGCGGGGCCACAGAAGGCAACTATGGGGCCACTGAGGGTAGCAACTGGGTCACGTAGGACAATGCGGGGGACACAAATGGCGACAGCGGGGCCACGAAGGGCATGCACATGGGGCCACAACGGGCGCGACTCCTGGGTGCCTGGGTGCCGGGAGCGCGGCGCTTGGCAAATTGCAGGAAATCCCAACGCAAGGCTACTCTTAAGTGCAATCATGTCTCCAGGGAGAGCGCGACTCCAGAGCTCCGGGAGAGCGATTCCTGAATAAATCGTAAAGAAGTCCCAAGCGAGAGCGCGATTCCTGAATAAAATGCAAGGAAGTCTCGGGCGGGAGCGGAGGTCCTGCCTAAATTGTAAGGAAGTCTCAGGCGGGAGCCGTTGTTGTTGTAACCCGGGGGCCAGGGGCCCAGTTTCAGCAGGAAGATTTTCCCTGTCACAAAACAAGGTGCGAGCGTCGAGGGGCACACTTTGACTGAGAAAAAACCATATGCACCGGGGGGATCAACAATAATGATTCTTCAGAAATGAGAACTCAGAAACAACAGTAACAACAACAACAACAACGACAACAACAACAACAACAACAACAACAACAATAACAACAACAACAACAACAACAACAACAACAACAACAACAACAACAACAACAGCATCAACAACAACAACAACAACAACAATAAGCATGTTAAGACTGTTCGCCATTATCTGCTCGAGTGTCGAATAACGCGAATTTCCCAAACCCTCGATACCCGCCTTTTCGTCTTCGATCAAGCCCCTTTTGGGGGGTATACCTTTCTTCCCTGCAGGCTGGGCCCCGGCAAGCGGCGGGGCGGCCGCGGACCGTCGGCCTGGCCAGCGGCAGCGCTGATCGGCGGGGCGGCCGCGGACCGTCGACCCGACCCCAAGAGGGACGGACAGGGAACCGACCACGACGACGACGACGACGACGACGACGACGACGACGACGACGACGACATCGACATCGACATCGACGACGACGGACGACGACGGCGACGACGACGACGAGCGAAAGCGAGAGCGAGAGAGAACGACAGCAGGGCCACGAAGGACACGAAGTAGGCCACGAAAGGCGACAGCGGGGACACGAAGGGAATGCGTATGGGGCCACGAAGAGCGCGAACGAGCGTGGGCCACGAAGGGCAGATAATGCGGGGCCACAGAAGGCAACAATGGGGCCAACGAGGGTAGCACCTGGGCCACGTAGGACAAAGAGGGGGACACAAATGGCGACAGCGGGGCCACGAAGGGCATGCACATGGGGCCACAACGGGCGCGAACGAGCGGGGGCCACGAAGGGCATACGTAGGTTGGGCCGCGGACGGTAAGGACGGGGCCACTGAGGGCTGCAACGGGGACACGAAGGGCAGCGAGGGGGCCATGAAGGGCGACAGCGGGGCCACGAAGGGCATGCATATGGGGCCACCACGGGCGCGAACGAGCGGGGGTCACGCAGGGCATGTATATATGGGGCCACGAAACAAAGCGAGGGGGCCACAAAGGGCTGCAACGGGGCCACGACGGGCTGCAACGGGGCCACGAAGGGCTGGAACGGGGCCACGAAGGGCAGCGAGGGGGCCACGAAGGGCTGCAACGGAATGGGGCCACGAAACAAAGCGAGGGGGCCACGAAGGGCTGCAACGTGGCCACGAAGGGCAGCGAGGGGGCCACGAAGGGCTGCAACGGGGCCACGAAACAAAGCGAGGGGGCCACGAAGGGCTGCAACGGGGCCACGGAACAAGGCGACGGGGCCACGAAGGGCTGCAACGGGGCCACGAAGGGCAGCGAGATCACGATTCCTAGGTAATCTGTGAAGGAGTCCTAAGCGTGAGCGCGACTCCTGGGTGCCTGGGTGTCGGGAGCGCGGCGCTGGAGTAAATTGCAAGAAATTCCAACGCAAGGGCGCTATTCTTCAGTACGTTGCAAGCAAGTCTCCAGCGAGAGCGCGACTCCAGAGCGCTGGAGAAGCGATTGCTGCATAAATCGTAAGGAAGTCCCAAGCGAGAGCGCGATTCTTTAATAAAATGCAAGGAAGTCTCGAGCGGGAGCGGGGGTCCTGGCTAAATTGTAAGGAAGTCTCAGGCGGGAGCCGTTGTTGTTGTAACCCGGGGGCCAGGGGCCCAGTTTGAGCAGGAAGACTTCCCTTCACAAATAACAAGGTGCGAGCCCCGGGGGGGGCACTTCAATAAAAAAAATATGTGCACCGGTGGGGGGGATCAACAATAATTATTCTTCAAGAATGAGAGTTCAACAACAACAACAACAATTACTAGCACGTGGGGACACACCGTTCTCACCAGTGCCAGGGTTTTCATAGGAGGCGGGCAATACCCCCACTTTGTGGGGGGGCCGGTTCAAGCTCTACCAAATTTCCAAACGACTCTTCGCCACCACCCACACCCAGCTTCCCGCCCTATGACGTTCGGACACTTCACTTCGTGGCATGCGGACGACCGTGGCTACTATTCAGGGCCCCGCGGCCGACGACGACGGCGTGCGCGCGCGAAGAAAAAACGAATGTGTCCCGCATGGTATTATTTGACAGGGATGATGGCCCTGGCAGGTGCGCAACCGTTGTTGCAGAAGTTCGAAAAAGTTGCTCGCAAAAGCCCGTTTGACAGAAATGTTTAAAAAGTGTTGGGTTTCCTACGAATCCGCAAGAGCGCGCGGGATGAAATTTTGACATTTTTTTTGAAAAACCATTGTTTTTTATGTTTTTATGTTAAAATCGCTACGAAAACTAAGGTTTTGGAAGGATTTCGTCTTGCGCGCGCGAATGTCCACTTTACCTTATTTTTTGCAAGGGATTCTTGAAGTTTGGTTATGTTAGAACAAGAAATGTCCACTTTAGCTTATTTTTTGCAAGGGAAAACCGATCGTAACAACACAACCGGATCCGGACCCCCGTTTTGCCTGAGACTTCCTCACGAAAGTGATGAAAATGAGGCTGCGGCCTAGGCGCGGCGGGGGGGTCGTGCACCAGGGGCCCCAACAATAATTATTCTTTAGAAGTAATAACGTTCAACAACAACAACAACAACAACAACAACAACAACAACAACAACAACAACAACAACAACAACAACAACAACAACAACAACAACAACAACAATTACTAGCACGTGGGGACACTCCGTTCTCACCAGTGCCAGGGTTTTCATAGGAGGCGGGCAATACCCCCACTTTGTGGGGGGGCCGGTTCAAGCTCTACCAAATTTCCAAACGACTCTTCGCCACCACCCACACC